CCCCCCCCGGGCTGTGGGGGGCTGGGCGAGGCAGGGCCCGAGCGCGGAGGCTGGCGCGTGGGCTGGAGTTGCGGCCTCGCCCCGGCGGCCTCAGTGCGCCCAGAGCGAACCTGGTGCTTTCTGAGCCCTGCGGCTGTGGCTCCCGTGGGCGCGGTGCTGTTCGTTAGCGCGGACTCCCGAGAAGGCTGGAGGGGCAGGGTGCCTACCGCCTGCTCGCAACTTAGCCCGAAGGCCCAGCAGCATGTGAAGCTTCCCAGGTCCTGGACAGGACTTTGGAAATAAATTAAGACAGAGCCGTTTGTCTGTCATCGTTTCACATGTTCAGTCTGTGGTGAGAGCCAAGATTTCCCAGAAAGAGGGTAAAAGGAAAGCGGCGGAAGCAGGAGCAGGGCGTTGCCTTTGGAAGGCTGCTTCCCTCCCGGCGGGTCTCTACTCTCGGCCGAGCGCCCCGGAGCCGGGAGGCGGGGTCGGCGGCCGTGCGGGCGCCGTGCGCTCGGNCCAAAAAGAAAATTGACTAGAAAAATAAGTTCATAAATTTAAGAAATATACTTCCGACTAATCCATGGGTCAAAGGAGATATAACGGAAATTAGAAAATATTTACAACTGTATGATTGAAAGTAATACATACCAAAAATGGTGGGATTCAGCTAATGCAGTACTTGGGAGTGAAATATAGTCTTAAAATGCACATTAGAAAAGAAAAACAGATGAGCTAAGCATCCATCTCAAGAAGTTAGAAAACTTCTGACCTGAGTTGAGAGTAGAGGGAAGGCTCATAAAACCATCACCACAGATACAGACAGGGACGTTGTTATGTCACAGACATTACAGCAAATACTAACGAGGATATTATGAAACAACTTTACACTGATAAATTTGGAAAAGTGGACAAAATGGGAAAATTCCCAGAGAAGTATAATGTAGCGAAACAGATGTAGACAGTGGTGTGGGGAGTAAAGAGCAGCTGAACGGAGCAGCGGGGCTTCGCCAGCTCATCAGGGCTACACTCTGGAAGGGAGGTCGGGCGGAGCAGGGGGTCCTGGCTGCCTAGGGCCAGCGGAGGGGCGTGGGGGCGCTCATGCCGTGGCCCCTGCCGCAGGGAGAACGCGGAGAACATGTACTACTTCTCGGAGCTCGCGCTGACGCTCAACGCCTGGGAGGCGGGCACGGCCCCCACCGACAGCCGGCTGCGGCCCGACCAGAGGCTGATGGAGAACGGGCGCTGGGACGAGGCCAACGCGGAGAAGCAGCGCCTGGAAGAGAAGCAGAGGCTCTCCAGGAAGAAGAGGGAGGCGGAGGCGGCGAGGGCCACCGAGGACGGTAAGCACCCGCCCCTGCGCCCTGCCCCCGGGGCCGAGCGCGCCGCTGACTCTCTCCCCTCCCCTAGGCACGCCCCACGACCCCTACAAGGCGCTGTGGTTTGAGCGGAAGAAGGACCCGGTGACCAGCGAGCTAACCCACATTTACAGGGGCGGGTACTGGGAGTGTAAAGAAAAGCAGGAGTGGACCGCATGCCCGGACATTTTCTGAGTGGACAGTACCGAGCGGAGGACGCTAAGGCCACGAGGACAGAGGAAGCGGGAAAGCTGGCGGTGGGCGCCTCACCCAGGGCTTTCCTCCAGTGTCTGTCTGAACCAATCCTTTTTCCAAATCAATCACCAGAAGCAGACGCCAGGGGTGGTGATTGGCTGGTTGCCTTAGCCGATTGACACTGAAATCAACACGCCAGATTCCCGTTTGTGGGGTCGCAAGGGTGGCCTCTCCACCCCGGCAGCCGGGCTTCGGCTCTTCCTCGCGCTCCGCCCGCGCGGTGTCCTGCTCAGCCAGGGCCACCCAAGATTGTGACGCAGGGGCATTTTGGTGCTGCTCAGCAAGAGCTGGTTTAAGAAGTTCCTTCAAAAAGAAACACGAGACACCAGCGAGGCAGCGTGCCTGACGGGGTGGAGCGTGGGCGTGGCGTTTCCCGGTGGCCGCGCTCGGGGACTGCCCCGCGAGGCTGAGACGTGCAGCGACGCTCTCGAAGCTTCGGTCTTCACTCCCGTGAAACGCCCTCTGCTGCTCTCCATCGCCTTTGGTACAACCGGAGGCCACTTCGGCGGCCGGTCGGAGGGTTGCGGTGTCCCCACAAGGGGTGTTAGGGCCTCGCTCAGGGGAGAGCGGCGGGGACAGGCGCGTGGAGGAGGAGCGCGGCTCTGCGCTCCCACGGCCCC